GCTACCAAACTGCTCTAATTAATTAGCAAACGTGATCATACGGCTTAGTAATATGTGAACAAAAATCAGGTTGGCTATCACATCTAATAAAGTTATTGTTTATTGATAGCTGCTTTATCATGTAATATCGATGAATTTTTACCGTGTTTATTTAGATAGTGTGGTGTGCTTCTTTGAGCGACATGACCCCTTCACACTCCAACTCGTTCTCACCCCCCCCTTCATCTCTGTGCAGGAAATGTTGATCAGAATCTGCTTTATTACTATGCAGTCTGATTTGCTTTGGATTTTTTACACAAAGAATCCTAGCACTTTTCTCACATATTTCGTGATATTTCTATTTATACACATACGGCTTAGTAATATGTGAACAAAAATCAGGTTAGCTATTACATCTAATAAAGTTATTGTTTGTTGATAGCTACTTTATAATGTAATATCGATGAATTTGCATAAGATCTAAGTTAAATGATTTTATCATCGGGTTATATGGGCTTAATCAGTGTTATGTTTAAGAATGTAAATCTATTTTTGACTTTGGAAAATGTCTTGCTTTTATATTAACTGAAGGGATCTTTATATTATCTCAATATAGATATGACGAATAACTGGGTTTCGATGACTTTCATGGAATAATATTGTCGGGGAGAACTTCATTTCGTATTAAAGTGCATGAAGAAGAGATTCGTAGGTTGATCTCACCCGAAAACAATTTCTGAATACCGTTGTATTGCAGCCGTTTGGCTTTACTACGACGTTCAGGTTAACGCAGTCCACGAGACATTCTCCCTCGATTTGGGTGAAAGCGGGCTGATCTTTCGTCCTTAATATGATGGACATCAAAGCTGGAATTCATTCTTGTAAAAGTCTCACGTTAACACCAGGTCAGGAAGACTAATTAGCTCTATCTTACCTCTTATATATACTCATAGCCACAAACGAAAACGAACAGGTGTATATATATATAGGATGGTTTGGCTAATTGACTTTCATACTACTCCTACTACTTTTGCACGAGTGCGTGTGTATATAAATGTGTGTTAACGCCTATACGCGATACCGGTCCTAAATCAGAGTCAGGCTTAATTACCCAAGAAAAAGCCCTGATCGAAACTGCGTAAGTCCGTAAGCAAGTATGGTTGAAATAATAGGATTTAAGCTTGTAGGTGTGCAAGTCAAGTTACGAAACTGCCTTTCCTAACCTCTCAGTCTAGGGCCATTAACGTTTAACCACCGAATGAAAGGCATGACTGA